ATTGTGATCGAGTCACGTATTCAATAGGGTATAGTTTCCAAAGATCGATATCATGGTATCACTGAGTATTGTTTTGGTTCCAATGAAGAATCATGGTTTTAGTATTTTGATATAAAGAATGGAATTCAATCTTTTCAAGATTGATCAAGCGAGATGTTTTCAAGGGTGTAGTTAACACAACAAGTTTGAGTATTTCAAGAATATGAGTCACAAGATACAAAGGTAGCGTTTGCGAATTATCGTTACTAAACGTAGGTTTTCTTCCTTCAATGTTTCACTCTTTGGAAGTTACTCAAGAGGTCGTTGCCTTAGGAAATAGTCATTTGACTTTTCGTCTTGTGGTTGAACGTATTTAAGGACAGCGAATCAAACTATTCATTAGTCTCAATACATCATGTCATCATCAGACTGAGTACGTTCTTGTTTGCAGGTAATCCATTTTACTATACCTATTTTGGCTAGTGATAATTACTTTTCCATCAATGGTCCGGTTTCAGATGCTATATATATCATGATCATGGAAAGAGTATCTCATATTCTCACATCATGGAAGGAACTTCTCGAAGACTTCCTTATACCATAAGATTCGTTGGTCTACTTGGTAGTCATTCTCTTGGTAGAAATCCAAAGTTTATGGCTACTGCGGTAGATTTGGGAAGGGAATTGATAAGGCGAAAGATTAAACTTGCCTATGGAGGAGGTTTGGTTGGCCTTCAAGGAGCTGTTGCTTCAACAGTCTTTACCAATGGTGGTCTCGTTAGAGGTTTCATTCCTGGGTACATAGCAATACGACGTGTCTATGGACCTACGTATGGTGTAGAGCATACAGTTTCCAGCAACTATTACAAATATTTTGAGATGAATCATGCCGTGGAAGCTTTCATCGTCCTTCCCGGAGGAGTTGACACTATGGAAGGTTTATTCACTTTGATCTCGTGGGCTTCTGAAGGGTTACACAATAGACCCATTGGTCTCTTGAATGTTGACGGTTATTTCAATAACCTAATCAAATTTCTAGACGATGCGATGAGGCAGAACTTCATGGCTTTGAATGAGAGAAAACTTTTCATTTCTTCTTTCTTTGTTGATGAGATTTTAGACAAACTAGAGTTTGGTAAAGCTTTCCCGGGTCCAGGGGTTAGTTACGATGAATTTGTGAATCCTGGAAGACTAGACTTAGAATTGCATCTGTAACTTTCCTCATGTAATCCAAGTTGTATTTTGTGTTGAAATAATACTATCCATAAATATTATTTAACGTTGTATGGTCAGCGCGAACTACATTTTCTTCATTCTTCAGTCTTTCATTGTTGG